GTAGTCACCATAAGAATCTCAGCATTATACTTATCACGCAAAATCTATTTCACCAGGGACGCTGTCAGCGCGACATATCGCTTAATACCAATTACATCGTCGTCTTCAAGAACCCGCGCGATCGCGCTCAAACTCGCCATCTCGCGCGACAGGTGTACCCCGATGACCCAAAGTTTCTAGAAGAAGCATACTTTGACGCAATCTCGCGCCCCCACGGATATTTATTACTCGATCTGAACATCGACTCCGGACAAATATCGATTTCGGACAAGCATCTTCCGACGATGCGTTGCGTTACGTCTACGTACCGCGCAGATCGTCTCCAGCGTTATAAAAAGTATGCAACCAGTCGCTCGCGAGACGGCAGTTGCGAGAGACTTTCTCACGATGAAAGAAGCGGCGTCGGACAGTGGAACGAAAACCGCTAGACGTTTGATCGGAAAGAGAAACGTTTGTCTTCTAGAGGCACTGTGTCATCTGAACAAAAATCAACGCAGCTCCTTCCTGCGAACCGCGGACAAAAAATTTATTCGCTGTATTTGCGAATGCGTTTTCAACACGCTCAATGGTAACGTTGCGCTCGAACGGCGCGAAAAAAATCATCTAAGCAAATACAAAACGACGCTACGTCATATCGCGTCAAAGCGTGGAAATTGGAAGAATAAAAAGAAAGCTATTGGTACAACGGGTGGATTCTTATTCTATTGGGTTGTTCAAAAAGTCATTGCGTTTTTTTCATCTGATTTTCAGGTGTGTTTATTTAATATACGTAATGAACATTAATCAATAATATATTGGCCGTTTGTTCGATGACCTTTTGCCATCTCTCGGGCAACTTCATAATACCGCGTTCATAAAACTTCCTATCTTCTCTGCGAGAAACTTGTCAAGGTGCTGTTTGATGAGGTCTTCAGAAGCAAACGTTTTACCATTCAAAGAGTTTTGCAAAGAGCGAAATAAATGGAAGTCTGATGGCGCAAGGTCTGGGCTATATGGTGGATGTGGCAACACATCCCAACCAAGCTGAAACAATTTTTGCCGAGTGACCAAACTTGTGTGTGGTCTCGCATTGTCGTGGTGAAACACCACACCCTTACGATTGATTAGCTCGAGACGTTTCTGTGCGATGGCATCACTTAATTTCTGTAGCTGCTCACAGTAGACATCGGAATTAATCGTTTTATTCTTTGGAAGCAGCTCATAGAAGACTGGTCCCTTCCAATCCCACCAGATTGACAGCATCACCTTCTTTTGGTGGATGTCCGCCTTTGCTTGCCTTTCCGGTGCTTCATCTCGCCTACTCCAACTCCTTTTTCGGTTCACATTGTTGTAGACAATCCATTTTTCGTCGTCCGTGATCATACGCTTCAAGAACGGATCGTTTTCTTCGCGTTTGGTGAGTTGATCGCAGACGTTCATACGCTTCGTCAGATGAATTTCTTTCAACTCATGCGGTACCCAAACATCGAGCTTCTTCATGAAACCAAGCGATTTCAAATGACCATGAACACTTCCAATGGACACTTTTAGAGCGGTAGCAAGCTCCCGAACCGTTGAATGCCTATTTGCTTGCATCAATGCCTTGATTTTATCGTCGTCAATCTCAGAAGGCCTACCGGAGCGATGAGCGTCTTTAACTGAAAAATCACCACCACGGAATCGGGCGAACCAGTTCTGGCACTGACGTTTTTCGATGACATTTCTGCCGTAAACTTGACGCAACTCTTCCCATGCTTCAGTTGCTTTCTTCCCTTTTTTAAAGTAATAAAGCAAAATATGGCGATATTCTCTTCAAAAATTTCTCCATGTTTAAACCACAATTACAAACACAAAACTCGACCGAATTGCGTCAACTGTTTTTTTGGTTTTTAGGTTAAGTGTCAACAACAAAATGCGCATAAACATGTGACATTCATGTCACGCTCAGATACAAATAAACGTGAACAGCGCTATCTATTGGAAAAAAAACGCAATGACTTTTTGAACAACTTTGACCCAATATATTATCGTTCCTCTATTAGAGGCCTTATTTTCGCGAATCATAGACAAGGTGACGGCTTAAAACACAAGAGAGAAAATAATATCGAGTGTTATGGAAAGGGCGAAAAAAATGGTTTTAATTTCTACGGAAAATTTCGAGAAAATGCAGCGTCAATTGCATCAACCGACTACCGACTACGGCGCACCGCTCGTGGAAAACACCGGACAAAAGCGCTAATAATAATAATAATTATAATTCTGTACGAACACCCGGAACCACTCTATCCAAACTCGATGCGGAGATGAGTCGAATTCTTAATTCGCCCTATCCGAACGACGAAGCCGAGAGATGGAAGACGTACAAAGAGGTTCTTTGGCGATATCTTCACTTTGTACAAGTAGCACACGGACGACGAAATCAAGACGCGCGTAACGCCGAGAAAGAAGAAGAGGAAGAAGACGCGATGGACACTCGCGAAGAAGTACCGCCGAGCGATCTCACGGACTCATTCGCTCCGGGCTCTAGTCGTACGAGAAGCCTCCCGAAAGAACACGACGCGAGTCTCGGGGTGATGAAAAGCGTCGAAAGAATAGTAGAAAGCGTACCGAAATCTTACCGTGCCGAAGCTCGCTTACTGACGAAACGCTTGCTCGATAAAGCATCGTCGACTAGAATTAACTGGGATGAGTACGGAGTCGTGACCATAGACGGTAACGTTGTAAAAGATTCAAATATCTCAGACCTGATAAACGAGGCGATGCGCGATAGAAAAACCGTGAAAGCCGCGGGAAGAGTTCAGTTTGCGCGATTACTTCACGACTTGAACATTCCCTCCGCACTAGTAAGAAATAAAAAATTATTAACAGCCGGTTCTTCGCAAAATATCGCGAAACTTACCGGTCCTGCGACGAGTTCCACTCCTCAGAGAAACACGGATTCTCCACCAGCGAGACGCCTGTTCGAATGGAGAAAATTTGAATGACGGCTCTTGAAAAATTGTACTACGATCCCGCGCATTATGCCGGTTATTCGGCTGTCGATAATCTGTTTCGCGCGGCGAATTTACCCCGTAACAATGTCGAGCGATGGCTCGAAGCGCAAAACGCCTACACACTGCATCGTCCATTGCGACGGAAATTTCCGCGAAAGCATTACAACGTAACGAATATCGACGATCTGTGGGAGGCAGATTTGATCGAACTCCGAAATCTCAAAAGTTACAACGAGGGATATTCGTATTTACTCGTGATTATCGATGTACTTAGTAAATACGTCTGAGTAGAACCATTGCGCGACAAAACGAGTAATTCCGTAATGAGAGCTTTTCAGAACGTGTTCTCGAGAAGTAACGGACGCGCGCCCGTATACCTACAAACAGACAAGGGTAAAGAATTTGTCGAGCGATCGCTACAAAAGTTTTTGGAAGAAAATGACATTCGTTTTCGCGTAGCCCGCAATCCGGATGTCAAAGCCCCCATCGTCGAGCGCTTCAACAGAACGTTGAAAGAACAAATGTGGCGGTTATTTACGTCATAAAAACAACGACGCTACATCGATATTTTGTCAGAATATCGTAAACGACCTATAATCACACTCGTCATTTGTAGCACCAGAATGCAACCGTATGCTGTTACGAGAGAAAATGCGCGTATCGCGCGTGAAAATATAACGCGCCGATGGAGGAGCAACGGCGAAGCGAACGAAAAACGCCGAAAGGCTAAATACCGCGTCGGTGATCACGTTCGTATTAGTAGAGCAAAAGTCGTCTTCGAGAAAGGATACGAGGCGCGGTGGAGTGAGGAGATATTTCGAATTCATCGTATACTCGATTGGCGAAAACCACGTGTGTACGAGCTGAACGATTTAGCGGGAGAAGTCATAGACGGCATTTTTTACGAACAAGAATTGGCTCGGATTGAGAAAAACTTGCAGGAGGAGGAGTTTATCGTCGACCGTGTGATAAGAAGCCGGGGTCGCGGTAATAATAAGCAGGTGCTGGTTAGCTAGCGTGGTTATCCCAGTAAGTTTGATTCTTGGATCCCTGCTTCGAATTTAACCCCGTTTGTTCCAAATGAGGACGGATCAATTTCTCTTGATTCTTCCCAGCAATAGCAGTATGCGTTATTTTCCGCACAATGCAACCACTTCCTTCACCACAGAATTACCTCAACCTATACATTTACACGGCGAATGGGAAGTCGCGCTTAACGAGATCCAATTTCCCACTACTTTTTTACACATAAACCACGTTGAAAATGTCATTAGATTTGTCGATATTGAAAATGGACACGAGACGAGGAAAAACGGGGCGCCATTAACGTCGACGGAAGGCGTAATACCAAATGGTATTTACAAAAATATCGAGGAACTTATCTCCGCTATTAATTCGGCTTGCAAAGATGCGAATTCGCATATTAATTTGAAACTAGAAGACGCTAGCGGCGGTAAAATCTTGTTCGACATTACATGCGATGAAAATAAATGCAATCTGATTCATCATATGAACGTTTCCGATAATCTTCTACGAATACTCGGCTGCGGCGAGGCCATACCAACGCCTAGCAATCGCCTACAAATCGCATATTATACCATGCTCACTGCGACTAAACCTAATTCCAAAGATATTTTTACAGCGCCTTTTATTAAACTCGGGATTAAAACGGAACAAGGAGTGCGCGCTGGAAGTTTCTATACCGTCGAACCGCACGAATTGCTGCGTGGTATTCCCGATAAACTTTTTGTTTATTGCGATATTTGCGAACCTTATATAACCGGCGATGTGCAAACTCCACTTCTTTGAATAGTGCCGGTCGAGCTGCAACATTACGGACATTATTACGCGTACGGCGCGAATCAAGTAAAACATTTCTCCGTCCCGCATTATATCCCATTACGACAAACGTATTTCCGCAGGATTGAAATAGATATAAAAGATCAATTCGGAAAAAGAATACCATTCCAATCGGGAACGCTAACGGTGACGTTGCACTTTAGACGTTTCCAGTAAGAAAAAATCAGTCGGAAAAGCCGCTCGC